ACATGTTCTCCTCCCACAAGACGCACTTTTGCGTGTAAACGCCCCATATTGCATATTCATTGCAGGAAAAAGTACTAAATGGATAAGAGGCGCTATTTAGCACGTTTTAAAGACAAAATAATTTTAGCACGCTGTTGATAGATCAGTTTGTACACTTTTTAGCGTGCGCAGGGATATAGCTCACGTTTTTATACACGCAAACCTTTGATAGATCCGGCCCTATGTGTCCAAAGCCCATAACATTAGCAATGACCCCTCACACCCCCACCATTGCCTCTTCTCCCTGCTGCCCTCTGAGAAGAGGCTTCGCAGCATTCAATGCAGATCCAGCAGATTTCAAAACAGCTTCTTCCCCACCGCCATCAGACAATTGATCTGTTTAAAAAACTCTAAATCATGTCATAGACTCTGCATTACACTGACAACACCAAACCAAAACACTGCATGATTGCACCATATATATTTAATGCTCTGAACACACATATCAATGCGTTTTCTTTGCACCATTTTTTTTTCCCTCCCACATTTACATTTGATCACTGCTGCACTTTAAGAAATGGAAATATCATGAAAGCTGTACAAAACAAAATTTCATTTTTCTATACACTCTGTGTGTACAAAATGACAATAAATTGTGTCTAAGCTAATATCAGCCTTAAATATTAGCTGGCTGATTTATGGTTTTATCTCTAATCTTTATGTTATTGTAGAAATTTGTAAAAGGCCTAAAAGTTGGAAAGATTTTTTTTTTTACAGTGTCCTGTCTGGTGATGTGGCAATAGGAATAATTGTCTTGATGCCAAAAAGATCCCAANTGTGTCTAAGCTAATATCAGCCTTAAATATTAGCTGGCTGATTTATGGTTTTATCTCTAATCTTTATGTTATTGTAGAGATTTGTAAAAGGCCTAAAAGTTGGAAAGATTTTTTTTTTTTTAACAGTGTCCTGTCTGGCGATGTGGCAATAGGAATAATTGTCTTGATGCCAAAAAGATCCCAACAGATTTTACCTTCACAAGTGGAGCAGTAAGGCTATCGCCATGGTGTTCTGCACGATTGATTTATGCATATAAATAGCTTTATTATAATTATGCAGGGATTTTACAGATTATATGGACACTGCAATGTAAGTAGATCAGGAAAGGAAAAACAGAGAAAAAAATGGAGAAAAGATGAAAGAAAGAGGAGATAAAAGGGAGATAATGATAAAATATCTTCAGTCTGCTTCAAAACCTGCAAAGAGATGTAAAAAGAACAGCACAACTTATGCACATGGTACAAGACATACGATAAAGTAACACCTAGATACTATCACTGAAAGATTTTTTAAAGAATGGATTAAATTGCACAGTCCATATGTTAGGGTGTAGCTTCTATGTTTTGAGTTGAACGGGTCCATTTGTCTTTTAAGTGCAGATTGAATGTTTCTTTTGTGTTCCTTTCAGGATCTTTGGCTTTCCCAAACACTACACCGATGTGAACAACATGGGCCGGATGCAAAGGCAGAAGGTTCTGGGTCGATCCTGGAGCGTCCCTGTGATCCGCCACTTATTCGCCCCCCTGAAGGATTATTTTGAATGTGAATAGGAACAGTGAGGCGAACCTTCTCCTCAGAGCAGCAGTGATAAACCTTACCTTTTGGTGCTTTAATATTTTATCTCCTAAAGATCCAGTTTGGTCATCTGTCCCTTAGCTTTTTTTAAAAACTTTGACTGCCTGTCATCCGGTTACCTCACCAGCAGCCAGAACGATTTTTTTTTTTACTCTTTTATTTGCTTATTTGTTTTCTTTTTTTTTAAAGCTATGATAATGTGATCTGATGATGTTGTTACTTTGACCGCAGGCCTGTGTCACAAAGTGAGCAGACAGCTTAGCTCCACCTCTCCAGTTTTAACTCAGGCTTTTACGACTACTCAAATGTTTACAACTTTGGGTTTCCATAGCAACAGCACAAAATAAGTATGAAACCAGCACTCTGTGTCACCAATCAGTTTAGAAATAGCTTTTAGCTAAGGGCTTTATGTTTGTTTGTGTTAATTTTAAATGCCGTGTTGCTCCAGACAGGCGAGCGGGTAAAGGTCTTAGTTTTGTATCGTCAAACAGGGTTACCTGGAA